GGGGGGGTAAGTGATGGAGGGATGCAAGTTGGAAAGTGGCAGCAGCAGCAGCAGACCAGATGGGCTCCACAGCTCTGGTCCTTGAGCCACTGGTTGATTCAGTAAACACTCAGGTTTCTTCTCTACAATTACTATTTTTCTTTAGATAGCCAGAATCCGTTTCTGTTGCTTGCAACCAATATTCCTGAACCAATACAGGAGCTGTCCAAGCCCCTGGTTTCTAAAAAATTCCACCATGACCTGCAGCCCTTCCAAAGCCCAAACAAGCTGCCACAAGCCAGGGAGCCAGGGAACAAAGACAGGTTCCTGTTGGGCCTTGGCAATGATGAAATGAAGACCTGGGCCTTCATGAAGACTGTTTCTCTCCACTTCTGTCTCCTGGCTCAGACACGGTGGGGAGGAACAGGACAGTCTTAATATTTGCAAATCTCAGGACAAGAACACAAAAGGATAAATAAGACAAGTCCTAATCTCCTAACAGACAAGAACAATGGAGGGAAATATTACCCCAAATGGCTTTGACCCCAAACCCCTGCCATGTAGCTTAGCCAATTCCAGCTGATGGTCCAATTAACAAGAAGACGTTAAGTTCTTCGGGGTCAAAGTTGCCTTGGAAACATAAACAAGAGATTGCTCAGCAATGACAATATCCATGGCAACCACAAACCATCTGCAACACCCTCCGCCCTGTCCTTCCTCTAAAGGTGTGTCCAGTCCCTCCCTACGGAGCACTGTCTATTCTGCGCGTCATTTACGAAAGAAGTGACCATAAACCATTTTCTGAGTCACTCAGTCTCAAGTTCATCATGACGGCATCATAACGATGCTCTGTGGGAAGGGATGTGGGGCTGCCTTCATGTGACATCACCCGGGCATGCAGTTCCATTCAACAAAATCCCAGGCCAGGCCAGGCCCCACCTATGTCCTGGGAAGATGGACATCTATGGGACAGAGCAAAGGAGCCATTCCCTGCTGGGGATCCTTTATTTGCAACTCATATAAATATCTCTGAACCTGTATTGATGTTTAAGCCTATGAGAGGGCAGGATAGCAGAATCAGCCGGATCTGGGATCAAATCCTGGCTCTAACGTCTTGTAGCTCGGTGACCCTGGCCAGTTATATAACCTCTCTGAGCCTCAGTTCCTTCTTTCCTCTGTGAAATGGGACTAATAATAGTATAAACGACATAGGGTTAAATGATATGAAGTATGTATGGAAAGCATGCAGAGCCAGCCACAGGGTAATGCTAACCATGAATAACCAGTATTCACGTTATTTCTATAATTTCTGAGACAATAGAATCCAATCGTTCAGTTGCTCCAAATCTGATTATTCACTGGACTCACCAAGGGAACTTGTTGTTATTGTTTCTTCTTCTTTTCCCAGGGAAACTTGTTAAAAGTATAAATTCCTAGGCTTCCATACCCCCCAAGAAATTCTACACTGGGTAGGTCTGGGCAGAACCCAAGAACCTATGTCTCCATGATATGCTCTTATTGTGCTTAGCCCATAGTAGGCGCTCAACAAACCCAGGCCCCTTCCTGGCCTAGCCTATTATGACAGCTTCCTAGCTGGTTACCTGTGTCTACTACTGAGATCCTTTTAAAAGATGAGATCATGTCACATCACTGCCCCCAACCCTCCACAATTGACCATCTCATGCAGAATAAAATGCATAGACAGGCCCTCCATCAGTGGTTCCTGACACTGGGTACACATGCAAATGCCTGGTGAACTTGTGAACAATACCTATGCCTGGCCCAACCCCAGACCAGCAGAATCAGAATCTCTGGGGGTGGGGCCCAAGTAGGGTTGCTAGATAAAATACAGAACACCAGTTACATTTAAATTTTAGATACACAATGAATAATTTATATTCATTAAATTTAGTAGAACCATGTCCTTGGCAATATTAAGACATACTCCTACTAAAACAGTATTTATTTGTTGTGTATCTGAAAATCTAATGTAACTGGGTGTCCTATTTTTTTTGGTTTTTTGTGGGGGTTTTTTTGTTGTTAAATCTAGCAATTTTGGCCCAAGCATTAGCCTTCCCCCTGCTGTATCTGCAATGCCTACAACCTCACCCGCTACTCAATAAATTCTGGGTGTTTTTCTTCATGGTTATGAAAAGGCTTCTCACTCTAGCACATTGGTTCTCAACCTTCCTAATGCCGCGACCCTTTAATACAGTTCCTCATGCTGTGGTGACCCCCAATTTCATTGTTACAAATTGAACATAATTAAAGCATAGTGATTAATCACAAAAACAATATGTAATTATATATGTGTTTTCCAATGGTCTTAGGTGACCCCTGTGAAAGGTCGTTCGACCCCCAAAGGGGTCGCGACCCACAGGTTGATAACTGCTGCGTCTAACACAACCCCCACATTCCTTTGGGAGGAGTTGATAGGAGACATCTTAGAAGTATCTTTTACCAAGAATAACAGCAGCTAATTTTTATTGCGCGCGTCCTTGTGTGCCAGACACCACTAAGAGCCCCTTAGCTGTATATCCTCATGTGGTCCTCACAACAACCCTTGTGAGGGGCATAGTGACCCTCCTTTTCCGGATGAGGAAAGTAACATTTTCAAAGTCCAACACCAAACCTCAAAAATTTCAAAGGCATACACGAGAGGGATAAACCTTCCCGGAAGGCCCTGCTCCGGACGAGTGTCCACCAGGCGCCCTCGGGGCAGGCTGCGCAGGGCAAGTGGCAGACCGGAAGCCTGGTATGGATTAGGTCCTGTGTGCTATTTGGTGGGGGTGACTGGGGTGCCGGGTGGGCAGCGGGCATGGCTGTAACTGGATCCAATGTCCAAAGTCAAGAGTGTTCAATACAGGATCTCGAATCGAATTAGAGACAGGGCAAAGCCAAGACATTGTGCAGAACGGTGCCTGGTTCCACAAAGCCAATCTGGCTGGAAGGGGCCTCCAGACACTGAGAGGAGGGCTGGCTGGAGGCTTTCTGTGGGCATCGCTTCCATAGAGTCACTATTGTCCTATCTTGACAAGGCCCCCGTGCTCAGATACAACTCCCTCTGCCCCTGAAGGGTGCACACCACTGACCCAGTTGACCTTCACAATAGCCCTCTAGGGAGGCAGAGCGATTCTTGGCCCTGATTGGCCAGTGAGGAGATGAGCAGAGGAAGACCCAGAGCATTCTACAAGGCATGCATGAGTCACAGATTCCACAGTGATAGCTGGTCCCTGACCCCACCCACAGCCTTTTCCATTCAAGGTACTGGGCTGTCTTCACTGAGAGAAAGAGCAACAGTCTTTGTAGCTGCAATGATTCATGCTTCTGCTCTGGCACTCATTAGCTCTGTGGCTTCTGCATGGCCTAGACCTGAGCCTCCGTTTCCTGTCCTGTAGAATGGGTATGATAAGAATGCATAGTCACTAAGTGAATAAGATCCATTCATGACTCTGAGCACCTACGAAGTGCCTGGCACAGCCCCTGGGGCTGGGCAGATAGCAGAGGACAAGGCAGCCAAGACCCCCATTCTCTGGGCTTTTAAATTCTAGTGCGAATGGCAGATAATAAAGTGCAAACTGAAAATGAACAAGGTAATTCCGCAGAGTCAGAAATACTACGATTAAACAGAACAGGACTGGAAGCCTGGTATGTGATTCCCCTGCACTTAGAGAACAGTGCCTGGCACATAGTAGGTGCTCAGTAAACGTGTTCAATGACTGAGTGTGCTGGGTGGTTAGGGAAGACTCACAGATGCCAGCCTGAGTGGACACTGCAGGGAAGAGCTGGAAACAGACGCAGGAAGAGGAAGGTCTGGGGGCAGAGTGCCAGGCACGGGCACCTCAAGTGCAAAGGTCCTAAGACTGAAGGAAAGTTAGCGTTAGAGAAACCGAAAGAAAAATCAGCGAACGCATGGCTATCTCAACATCCGTCAGCTTCCAAGTGCTGTCCATGTGCCCGGGAAGGGTGTTTCTGTGGCTGGTTATTTGATTTTCCATAATTTACTTGGGAAGATTTCCATCCAATCGCTGCTCAGCCCTCCCTCCCCTCCTTAAGCGTCTCCTTAAGCACTTTCTGCAGACAAGCCCGCAGGGCAATGCACCCACAGCCCGAGTTTCGCGCCGGGGTTGGCCCGTCACTTCCTGACGCCGGCACCCCTGTC